GAAAATTATTCACCGTGAAAAATATGACTTCTCGATAAGCGTGAATTTTTCTTCAGCAGATTTTCAATGAAAGTTTGCTGGGTTTTTTTTCTTTTCTCAAAATAATTAACCTTTGGATTTACATGTCTTTTTAAAATCTTTACTTATTCATATAAGTTGAATTTTATCTAAACGCTGAGCTCGATTTGAATTGAACGAGGGACGGTATTCGACGGAAAGACGACGTCGCGTCGCGCCGGTTTGCATGCGGAGCCGCCCTTGTGCCGTGGGCCGCAGGATTGTATGGAAGCCAGCTGCGAGTCGGCGAAGCGCGACGGACTGAGGCCGCGTGTACTCGGAAACGTTGTAAAAATAATTATTAAAGCCGTTACCACGCCGTACTACTTGTTCGTCCGTCTAACACGTGTACCGGCGACGCCACGGCCGGCGCGGCGGTCCAAGGTTCGTTGTGTGCACCTCCGGAAGTCGCGACCGCGCCGGTACGTCTCATCAATATAATGAAAGCATGTTCATTAATCGGGCCATTTCGAAAGCGATCAAAAAGCGTTCGTTTCGTTGTAAGAAGGGCAAATTACGAGGGAAAAAATATACAAATACAACGAAGCATGAGCAAAAGTTAAGATTGCTCTGTCGTGGCCGATATAATCGTTATTGCGAATTCTTTTGCCATTACGCGTCCCATTCGAAGCTGGTGGAAGAAATCGTCGTATTCGAGCCATTCTGTGTGGCGATTATTTCGTTACACGATTTAGACACGAAAAATAATCCCGCGGTTTTCTCGTCGGCGTTAATTACGGTCGATTTTCCACCACGAGCGTCATTTATTCGCGGAAACCTCAACGCACCGTCGCTTTTTGCGCCGCACGCTCGGCAACCTGTCCTTCCTTCCGACGTATCTACCATTTTTAACCGCCGCACTTCTAATGGGTGCAACGGTTTTTTCGTCCGTCCCGTCGCCGGCCATCTGTCGCGCGGTGAAAATGGTTTGATGAAATTAAAGTCAGCTGATCGAAAAACCAGCGTGGTCTAAAACATCGGCGTGGCCTTCCAGCTACGCTGAGGAGCGGTCGAACACCCGGTCCTGAGTTTAACTTTTCGTAATCGCCAAACGCGATCCTTTCAATGTCCGATAAGACGTCGGAGACACGTCACACAGACGTTTTTCAATGCGACGCTGAAAGTTACCGGGAATAGAAAGGACTTCCCTCCGGATGACAAGCGCAAAAATTTTTTGCGAACGCGGTCCCCGCGTTGCGTTTAACAATTTTATCGGGCTCTCCGCCGCGTGCGTGTGACACGCGCGCAATGGATACGTGGTACAAAAAGAACGGGAAAATGGACTACCAGGATGCCGAAGTGACGGCGGCGGATGCCTTTATTGACCAAGCAAAGGACACACACGAGACATGGAAATCGGAAATTTTTCGTCGCTGCTTCTCCATACGTTTTTCCGTGATGTCCGAAAACGCGATTTTCCAATGACGACGTCGCCATCAAACCATCGTTGGATAAAGTACTAGAAACTGAGGAAATATATAAACATTTTTATCCTCGAAATTGACAAATGCCTCAATAATTTTTACTTTTATTACTTTACTTTGTAATCGAACAATGGTGCTTATAAATTTGGAATATTATACGACCTACGAGAGGATCGCGTGCGACACCTTCAAATCGTTGTTGGATAAAGTAAAATATCAGAAACTGAGAAAATATGTAAACACTCTCATCCTCGAAATTGACAAATGTCTCAATAATTTTTATTACGCTTTTGACTTTGTAATCGATGGCGCCCATAAATTTAGAACATTATATACACAGTGTCCTACAAGAGGATCGCGTGCGACATCGACGCCATTAAGTCGCGCTGTCACGAGCAAGAGAAAGAAAGTTAATCCTTATAAGATTACCAATAAAATATTTCTACGATCGCGTGAATGAACGTTGCGCGAGTATGTGACACTTTCGATCGAGGTGATACATCTTCGTCCCGTAAAAAGGAGCCAGACACTGTAAGGCCTCTACCCGTCTAGCTCGGCAATTAGAAGCACGCGTTTCAACCGGCAGCTGCCAGAGCGCGGCGATTTGACGATAAGGTAATTAAAATATTTCGTAAACACGTTTCCTCGTACTGGCAGATGCGCAACTCCCGATAAGAGAAAACGTACGCTACCGCGCGTCGTCGTATCGTATTGTCCTTCTGCGCCATCGAATTTCCGTACGCCACGGACATTTGGGAGAAAGAGGGAGTAGGGGGGGGGGGGGGTAGCAGGGAAGGTATCACAGAATCGTTGCTCCTACTTCCGGTCATTATTACGTTAAATTATCGCAAATTGGGATTCTCGTGATTTTAAGAAGATGCGCGCGTAGCAGATGTGTGCCCCGCGTTGAAAAGCCGGGGCCGGGCGTTCAACGTTTTTCTCCGGGGGCGAATGCTTGATGTGTCGTCGAAACTTAAATAAATATAAGCACCGGCTGCCACCAGGCTGCCTTCTTGCTTTCTCGATGCAGCGTAACTTTACAGGGCTATAATATTTACATTGCGAGCCACGGAGGTGGTTTGAAACGCGCTCCTGTTAACAACGCGAGAGTTAGCGGGATAAGTGAAAAATTAGAGAGGCCAGAGCTTAAATCGATGACTTTTGCCACCGGTTTCTCTGCACGCGCACGTAATTTCGCACATGGAAACGCGGAAGATAGCGAAACCGAAAGAAAGGCGAGCTAGAGACGCCGGCGAATTGATCGGACGAGGAAGAGAAAGAGGGAAGAGATTTCTTGGCTTCGACGATTAATTACGCCCTCATTCCCGCCCTCTCAACGATGCATCGTCGATATTGACATTTGCCTTGCCTCCCTTTCACCCTGCCTTGTCCGCCTCTCTCTTTCTCACTCTCTTCCTTTCTCCGCTTTTCCTGCCGCGCGGGAGAAAGCTGCGCGGGCGGGAGAAAAGGCCCCGGGAGGGAACACAGATATATACACATAGATTTTCTTCGCTCGCAGAGGCAGAAAGGGGTGGAATCGCGCGCGGAGGGCCTCCGCCGCCCCTACCTTTCGAGCGTGTGCTTATCGGATGCACCGGAGCATTTTTTCCTCGTTGCCTTGCGAAGAGGCAGGTAGGTTGGTAGGTAAGGCAGTCAGGTTGCTAGGAATGCGCATACAAGGGAATTAGACCATAATCACCCACGCGCGTGTGTACGTGCGTGTGCCCCGCGAAGGGGGACGTTTTCCTCGCTGTCTTTGGACCTCGATGTTCACTCGTCGCTCTCGCACCCTCACTCTCGCCCTCGCCCTCGTCCTCGCACACCAATCTTGACCTCATCATATGGCAGATTACGCCCTGGCCCTTTGAGTGCGGAAAAGTCGTCAGATATTAATAAACTGTTTTCATCTGCTCTCCGCAAAATGGCAGTGTATAATTATGCAATGATTAGAACTGTATATTCGATAAAAATGTCAGAAAGAAAGTAATGGCATTAACCACGGCTCTAATCTAGAGATTAATCTATCGCAGTCGAGAGTTCAAAAACCTCCGCGGAAAGAATGCAATACTTTTTAATTTAATATAAACTTGATTAGCTTTATATATATTAGAATAAACTATGAACAAACGTTTATCTCGTAGGGGAAAGTTTCCGCGGCTTCCTTGCTAATTAAAAATATGCCAGACACCGAATTTATAAGTTAATCGATCGTTCGATACCCGAACTGAATGTTAAAAAGTTTTTTATAGTCCATCGACCATTATTTAATGTTTTTTTTTAGTCCATCAGCACTTTCCTAATTTTGCTACTTATTTTAATTACTCGCTAGTTTAAAACATCGTATACTATTTTTTAAAATTCTAAATCATAGTTTCACAAATAATAATTTATTCTGCAAAGACGTTTCTTAAAAATAAACTTGCGCGATTTTTATTTTTAACGTTTAGAAGGCTGTTAACTAATCACATAATTGTGCAATTAATATTTATGATTTATTTTTTTATAATTGTTTTTCTCACATACGTCGATAAAGATGACAAGATTATTTCTACAAGCTCTTCCATCCACGGTTACCGTATGTTTTCTCGGAGAATACATCATAGGTCGGTAAGCACAGACTTTCTGTAGATAATGCAGTTTTCTGCATATATTTTACGCAACAAATGAAACATTTCTATTGCTGAAGAGGCTTGTTGAGCAATAATGTCTTACGAAATTGATTTCTATTGCAGCATCTAAATATTACACATATTTCCATTAAGCGGTCAACTTTGTCGGTCACAATTTTAGCCACTTGTCGGCCATATAATTTTTATAGAAAAGATTTTACGGATAAAGCAGTACGTTACCGACGCGCAACGAAAATGTCCCCTGTATATCTCTCTTCCAAAAGCTTCCCAGTGAACACAATGTCCCAAATCGGGATATAAGACGTCTTAAAGACGTCATATCATAAGATATGGGACATGCGTGTTGTCTGAGTCCGCATTTCCCCCGTGTAATAACATTGCACACAATAATCGCAAAAAATATAACGATAACGAAGCGTCACGTTTTTATCGTCACCAACGTGACATACACAACACATGATTGATGCGATAAATCAAATTTCTCACAGAGGCATTATCTGCGGGAAGCATAATTTATTAATATAAATAATCGATGCTGAAAAGGATGAATAAAATCGAGTCAACGAAAACAACGCCAGATAAATTGGCAAATTAGAGGTCTATACGCGACTGCTAATTCAGATAGGAGGTCTGTATATCTCTCTATACTCTAGAATAGCTCGAAACACTTTATATACACACCGCGCGTCCAGAATCTAATCTAACACGCTCCGGCCATGGAAGTTATACTTTTATTACCGGTTCTATTGAACTTAACGAGGTCAATTGAGACGATACGGTTGCCTTGATTTTACGATAGCCGAACGCGATGCGGCGATAAACGGCGATCCCGCCGACCGTAAATTATAATCCGCCCGCGCGTTTAACCAGCTCCCTTTTTCGTTTTCAGCACCTGTACCACCTGCAGACCGGCGAAGGGGCGTTCCGAGAACGCGGGAGGGGACGAGGCAAAGGCGCCACGAGGGTGAGTAATGCGTCTCGATTTAACTCGACTTTCCATCATAATTCAATTCCTAACTTGACAATATAAATGGCACGTGTCGCGACTGATAGCTATATAGATTTCTCTCTCAACTTTAAAAGCCCTCCCTATCTAAGCGGAAGTATTATCGTCAAGTCGGCTTATTCTCAGACATAGTCTCTTCCGAACGTGAGGATTCTGTTCGATAAATTACGGATAATTGCGCGAATTGTCGCTGTCAGAAATACCATCGAAAGTGATCGTCCGCCGTGCGGCGGGGTACGCCGGAAATCGATGGTCGGCGATCCATATTCGCGCTTCTTAATTGCCGGAGACGCCGCCGCCGTAACGCGTTTTAGCCCTGCCTCGCTTGACGCGGGCCGGCTATCTCTCGGTACCGGCTGTACGGAGTTTCAGAACTGATATTAAGCAAGGTGGTATTGATCGACGCACGTTGCGCCTGTCCGCGTTACTGCACCGCCATGTTTAAAATCCGCTTGCGCCTTAAGCCGCCGCGCGGACTTGAGCACGCATGCGGGGCGAGGAATTTTATTTAGCCGTCGTGCGGCATTTAATTTTCATTTTCGGAGACGAGATTGTCGAACTGCAACTCGCAGATCGTTCTACATTGCCGAGCTGAATTTCGAGATACCGCCGTGAAACGGTCCGAGTCGAGTTTCCTGATTTCGATTGTGCTCGAACCGAGAAACGAAGGAATAATGTTTTTTATTGTCTTGTTTCTTTTTCGAATTATCGTTATTCACCGGGCAGTTCCTAGCAGCGCGAGGAAATCGGCCCAGCGACCCACGGGGCCTTTTCTTATCTAATCTGTCAACACGTGGATAAGATAGCACCGCAACATTCCTGCATTTAGCCGCCCTGGTAAAATAAGATTTCACTTGTGTATTTGCTAATAAACGCGCCTCTCAGTTTTCTTTTCCTCCTGTAAACGCGTGTTTCTTGTGTTTTTCACTTTGCGGATCTGCCTCGAATGAAACATCGCGTTGCAATGGGACAGCAGTATACATAGATACATACATACACGTACGGAGGTATAGTATATTTTGAAATGAGAAGAAAGGGGGTATATATGTATACATAAACGCGATGGCGTACTGTATAACACGATAATAAGACTCTTGGAGGAAGACTCTTGGCGGGGAAAGATCGGCGAGCTAAGGAAGGCTTAAGGGTAGATCCGTGAGGCGGCCTTTCGAGGACTCGTTTATTAACGTCCCTGCAACTTGTTGCTGAGCGCGTTGCCATGCCGGCCCTTTTGACCTCTTTCAGGGCGACTCTATCCGCGTCGGCCCTCTTAACGACGCCTTCGGAGGAACGGAGGGTTCTTCGGTCGGATCGATTATCTCTTAGCGATTGAAACCGATTGAAACATCTGTTTTCTTCCTGGATTACGTAAAGGGTATCGTTCGGTGCCCTTACCAGATAATCTGTTTCTTTTAACACGCCTAAATCAGCCTTGAAAATCATTCGACTTTGACCGTTCTAAATTTCAAATCTGAATGAACGGCTCGGATGGCCGTCTCACGAGATCGACTCCAGAAAATAGTACGTTATTAACCGGGCATTCGACTCCGTTTAACGTCCTCGCCAGGGCGCGCGAACGCTTTTCGTTCCTTCCGATACATTAAACATTTCTCTTGACGGCGGCAGGTATTCTCTCGCCCCACCACCAAGCCGCGTTTTACCCCCTCTGTCGCGTCAGCCACCTCCAGTTACAATGACGTGTTGGCGAACCATCCCCTCTCCATCGTCGTTGACGTCGTCGTCGTCGTCGTCGTCGTCGTTGCCGTCGTCGTCGTCAACGGCGGTGGCGGTGGCAGCGGCGGCGGCGGCGGCGACACCAACACCAACATAGGTCCTATTGCTCCCATCGTCTACCTATGGAGAGCCATAGCAATTTCGCGACGCGAGTTTTGTTTTTCCTTCCTTCTCCGCGACCTCACTGTCGAAGCACGTCGTCCCGCCGATACTCCAAGCGTGTTTTTCTCGTATAATACTCCGATATTTCTTCTTATTACGACTTATTTCTTCTCATTATAACTCACTAACTATTATTATGGTTTAGTCTATGATCGTAAATAATGCCTGTAAAATTTTGTCTGTAAAAATCTGTAATATGCAATATGATATATACATATAATGTTGTTGAAACATATCATAGTTTGAGTATCGCTCTCTCGTTTTGGTCTTCCAATCATGTAAGAACTTACGAGAGCGATGCAATCCAACTGGGAAAGATCAGGCGATGTAATAAGAAATAAAAATATCGAGTCAACAAACATTATTTAGATTTATTATTTAAAAGAAATCTATAATTGAATCTAAAATTCTAACTAAAATTTATCCTAATCGTTAAGTGCGGATGGTGCTCCATTTTTTCTTTAAAATATCGAAGAAATATCGGAAACAGTTGAATACGCTAGTTAGCTGGGGACGCCAGTTGAAAACGCCAGACTAAGAGCCGGGAGAGAAACAAAAGTACAGAAAGAGAGGGAATGGAAGGACACGAAGAAGAGCGGGGGTCATGTAAAATCGACACGAGCGTGCACGAGCGTTTCCGAGCGACGCGAGCTACGTGGAAGAAACGGCGCCGTGTGCCGTGTCGTTGCTTCATGATGGTGAGGTAGACAAGCCGAGGCTTGTTTACACGTTCGAAGATGTCGAGGTGGAAAGAAGCGATTGACACAGTGGTTAATGCAGCGGTCACGCAGCGGAGGGGGTCGGAGATCCGATTCGGAATCGCTCTCAACCCTCTCCGAGACGGGACGGTCAAACCACCCCCTATCTTACGCCTCGGTCCTGTTTCAGCGTCATCGAAGATCCATGTTGTCCATGTCATATGGCGCGAAAATATTATATCTTGTTAGTAAAAAATGTATCGGCGAGTGATTCTCAAAACCCTCCATAGGGTTCGCAGTAGTCACCCCCTCCCCTTGTAGTCAAAGCTTTCTTTAGTCAAACTCTGGTCGTGCCGTCATGGCAGAAATCGGCGCGTCGCGAGGAGGACGCAGGAATTCGCGATATCGCGCTGCGATAACGTGCGACGCGGTGGCCCCAGTGGGGAGATAAGGGGAGGCGAGTCGTGGGAGAGAAACAACGAGGCACGACCGCGCACACCCACACGCGCGATTGCGCGCTCGTGCTCGCGAACAAGAGAGAGAGAGAGAGAGAGAGAGTGAGAGAGAGAGAAAGAGAAAGAGAGAGGGACGAAGAGGCAGCGTAGAAAGGTGGGAACGCAGTCGGCGAGCGCGAAGAGGCACGAGAGGAAGAGGAAGAGGCAAGAAAGAGAGGGCGGGGAGAAGGGATGCGAGCAAGAGGGATGAGGGGTAGAGAGCGGGTGCCGGAGGAAAAGGGAGAGGCGTCTCATGGGAGTTATTCGGCGGATCGCTCCGCGACCAGAGTGATCTCTCGTGAGTGCTGAGAGCGATCGATTCGATCGGTAGTTGAACGAGTTTGAGCGCGGTTTGTTGCAAAAATCCGGCGCGAATGCTCTCCGGTCGGAAGTAGTTTCTCGCACGAGGTTGCAGCTCCGTGGCGTGGGTGTCACTGCCAGGAAATCGGAGAAAGGAGTCACGGTGTGCGCGCGCGGGAGAATAAACGTAGGGAAACGACATATGTACATACATACGTAACTTGGCTCGTACGAAGCCGAGTGCGAGTGATCCGATTCGAGTTTCAAGTGCTTCCAGACGAGATTTTGGAGGAGGAGGAGGAGGTCAAGTGTGTTCACGAAGCATTGGACCGCAAAGAACGTCGTCGCGAGGAAGTGAGTTTCTCTCTCTTTCTCTCTCTCTCCCTTTCTCTCTCTCTCCCTCTTCCTCTCCCTCTTTTTCTCTTCTTCATCGATTGCACGATGAGATGGTTTTTTAATTCACCTCTTAGCGTCAAAGATACGCAATTTATGGCACACGTGTTCGGATCGCATCTCCGCCAGCGGCGGCGTTTCCCGCTTCTCCTCGGCCGGCCGGCGAAACCCGATAAATCTTATTTTTACCACATGCTTTTTTATACCTATTAAATAAATCGAGAAATCAACAAAGGCAGAAGGAAAAGTATAAAAAATTCGACCGCTGTTTCGTCATCTTAGCCTGCCAGTCGTATTTATATTTTCGGAGCATCGGAGAACTCCGATTCGAGCGATAGCGTGTGGATTACGGATGTCGCAACACGATTCCTTCGCGACGTGCACGAAGAGAAGAAGCCGGATGATTCATAAAAAAACTCGAGCTGCTCGTATAAATGAACGTGATGTCAATCGATAGGCTCACATTCTTTTCCTATTCGATGCCACGCGTAACTCCGTTATATAAATGCTACATAACTCAAAGACAGGGTTGAAAGCGCCTTTTGCTGCAAATCCAAGAGGAGCTGTACAGCTCAAAAAACTATATCTAAAAAAATGGCGAACAAACAGATTCGAAACAAAGCGTCGTCGTCTAATGATTCTGTATACGTACGTAACGTTCGTTCCAAAAATCTTCCAACTTTATTCAAAGCTGCAAGCTTTTAAACATTACGCTATCGAGTATCATCGAAATTGATTTAATGCACGATTCGAATCCTGCATAAATCACCGTGACGAGTCGCCGTAACACTATATTACAATTCTTAACACTGCTGTAGTGCGTTCGGATTATATAAGGCGACGCTCGCGTCTGGTATCTACGAAACGGGGCCCTTGCGCCGTCAAGGACCAACGCCGAGCGCGAAACTCGACTTGACGAACCGCGTTCTGCCGGTTACGCAAGCCGCCGTTCGTCTATCGTGATCGCGGAATTTAGGTCAAACGACGTGTCCTCTGCTGCTATCGGCGGCGGTTCGACGAAACGTCATGAATTCCGCTCGTTTATTAACTTTTTGCCCGTTCTATCACTGCGCGCGCTCGCAGCCGCGCGCACAAACCAGACCGGCGATCAAGGTGATCTATAATGGAGAAAAATATACGCGTTGACCTGCGAATAATGCGATCGATCGAGCAAAGCCGTTCGTACGAGACGCTCGGGAAAGAATAAAATATCCGCCGGCTAACAGAAAATTCACTACGATTTAATAAGAGTATTATAGAATAAGCGAATTGGATGAAGCCATGAAGCGAGCTGAGTTAGCAAAGAATTTTATTTTCAAGTACAAACGGGGTGGCGGCCAGCAGGCAGATCAGACTTGTCCGATATCTTACGAGGAACTTGTCCTAAAACAGGTTCTCATACCCGCTATTATCGTTCATTTACAGTGTCAAAAGCGTTTTCTCGTCGACATTCTAATGTCGGCAACTCGAAGGTGGCTTGTCAAAAGAATAATTACCAAAACAAATAAATGAAATGCGGGTAACACGGGTCAAGAAATGACACAGCACAATATCGCTGTGACTCCTATGACCCTACGTAAGCAAAGAATTATCCAGAATTCCACTCGAAATCTTTCGAATCTATTCTCGACAAAAAGAACTATTTCAGTTGCTCCTGCTTTTCCTAGCTAATGCCGACTCTTGATGTCATTTTGTGACGTAGATATATTAATAATTTTATTAATGTGCCGCCCGGATCTTTTTGTAAAGTTGGTGTCGAAAGCGTGTTGCGTTGTACAGAACGTATAGAATAGAAGCATTCGTGCGATGAAGCGCGCGTATCGCATGCACTTATACTTTCATTTGGCTTAAGTCAACAAAATGTGAATCATCGCGAGTGGAATGGCCGACGTCGACGTTGAAATCGGTTGGTGGCGGTCGGTCAATGCCCACGCGCCAGCCACGTGGTTTGACAGGGCTTCGTGCCCGATTATTTCCAGAGCTCTCGCCCTGGAGTACGAGCCTCGTAGTAATTGGCAATCCAAATCTGTCAACATTTACAACTAATTTCGACCCGATTATCATTGTAATGAAAATATCGCGATCTATGAGCCTCGTAGGTGGAAACGATAAATCGATGATGTATTTACCAACATATCGTTCTCAATATGTATCGTCCCAACGTATATAATGTTTAAATATAAAATTTATAAAATAGTAACATTGGGGTCAAAATCGAGTGAGAAATCGTTCTCTCTGTCCCCTTCCTTTCTCCGAATCTTGAAAACTCCACGGACAAATGATCCTGGATAATTGGCTATTCGCCCAGCTTCTCTACGTGAATCGCAACAAGATCTAAAATAAGTAGACGATGAGAGAGAACCAGCTAATCCGTACCGTCTCTCTGAAAAAGGTCAGTCGTCTTGTCTTACAGTTTGCTGATCGATGATTGACGGTTCAAAGAATCCATCATTCCCTTCCGGACGTATATTCAATGAAGATTTTTCAATCGGCATCGATCCGCGCGTACCTGCACGAGGAATAAAAGCAGCAGCTCTTTAAGGGCTTTTTTCCATTTCCTTTCCCATTTCTTTTCTTTCTTTATTTGTTTTTATGAAAAATAAATCTCGCTGGATTCACAACATGAGAAAATTTTTATGAAAGGATTCATAACCGTGATTATACATCTTTAGAATTTCCATTGATTGTTTCTGACGTTCTGCTGAAGATGCAAAGAATAGTACCTATTAATATTTTCCTTTTTACGGCGGTGCATACGAATGAGTGTTTCGAAACGCTGATCCAGGCGTCTCAGTGGGTGACAAATGTTCCGCAAGGGAAGGAACTCTCCTTGCGAGCTCAGCGTAGGTCCGACCCAGCAACGTCGCGTCTATTTATAAATCGATGCATAACATAATACATATTTGACACGTAGCCACATGTCGCGTATCGAAAATGCAAAGGCGATTTTCACGCTCGACGGCATATCCGGCCTTGAAAAATTGACTACGTCATGGCTACGTCAAATCCGTAAAGGGAGACATTCGTAAAGGGGAAAAACGAGCGATCAGCTCGGTTGATGCTTGTTGAACTATGGAAACCGTTTCAGCCGCCTCGGCCTACTTAAGCCGTGTCGTTATTTTTAGCATTAGGGTCACCACTGCCGTATAACTGGCTTTAGTACCATCCTTTCTTCCTACGATTCGAGTCTAATTTTCTTAACCCTTCGCGACTCGTATCGTTTCCACGGTACCGATCTCAATCATAAATTCAGTCCGACACGTTTAGATCGAGAAGTCCTTTCCGTGTTGTAGAATTAACAGAATCTCTAAACTCTAGAATAGTTTATATCTAGATTTTGTATCACGAATATAAATTTATTTCAAAAGCTAAAATTTCTTTTAAATTTTCTTTTCGAGATTGTAGAGTTTCACATATATATATGCGAGACACATAAAATGAATGTGACAATGTTTATTACAGAGTTACCGGAAGATCGCACGGCAGGTCAGCACACCTGATAGCGCACCAGCTGGTCTCGGCAGTCCGCAGGGTGGTATCGGCGGTTTGCAGCAACAGCACCAGCAACAAACGCAACAATCTTTACACCAAACAGATCCCATGCAGCAGACCAAGGACAATCTCAATCCCGCGGCAAACCAACAAACGGGCGCTCTCAGAAACGGCAATCCGCCACCACCTGTCGTCTCTATGGTAAGTGTTTTAAACCTCTCTAGTAAAATTGTTTAAATTACGCGAAAGACCCGATCCCTCCGTCGTTCTCCGTTTTATTACAATAAATATTATTATGATAAAAAGTCGTCTTAAACATATAAAATATGCAAGGTGTGCGCCTAATTGTAAGATGTACATCGGGTTAGGGAAATTTTAAAATCAGAGATCTAGTAAAAAAGATCTAAAGATCGGGTTATAAAGATAAAATCGGGTCGATTAGAACATGTAAGAATAATTTTAACGTTCGCGGAATGACGTTGCTCGCGACGGTCCATGACTGCAAAGGAATCGACTGCCGAAATAGCGGCGTAACATGGAGGGCAAGGGTAGACTACCGGCAGACAGTGAGTGCGGGGGCGGTGACCGGCCGCCAACGCGAATCAATACCCGCAGGAACAGGAACCACCGACCTACCGAGAGAGAGACGGAGAGAGAAAGAGAAAGATAGAAAGAGACGGAGACAGATAGAAAGAGAGAGGGTAAGAGGAGAGCGACGTATCCCGGGGACGAAAGGAGAGAAAGAGAGAAGCGATGAAAAGCGAGCGGTATCAAGAGGTGGAGCAGGAGTAACGATACGATAGAAGCCGGCAAGGGTAGCCGCTCGCTCACGTCGCAGGGGTACGCCGGGGGTGAACCAAACCCCCGCGATTCCTATATGGAGATTCGCCTTTAATACATGCCGCCCCAGTTGCACGTCTTCTTCGGTTACCAATGTTAATATTTCAATTGTCTTAGCCATCTTTCTTCCTCGCGGGCGCGCAACGAGCAATCGCGGATTCTCAAAATAATCGCGGGTGCCGAGGCGCGCAATTCGATGTTACATCGAATCGTCCACGCATCGCCGTCTGCCTGTACGTGAAACTCTCCACGTGTGTATTCTTTAATGAGATAAACAAATCGATATATCGGGAAGGGAGAGAGACAGCATACCGCGCATTGCGTCGATATTAAAAATTCGTAGCCTTGTAACTAAAGCGCGAAGCGTTCTTTTTTTTTAAGCTCCCGCTTTATTAGCGCAAATCTTTACACGCAACAGTATATTAGACTTACCGTCGCGGGGAAACTTCTGCAATCACGGAAAGTCACCATCGAGATAAAACAGCGCTGACATCCTTTGCCTTTTCTCTCGGCATTCTCGTTTTATAGTGATGAGCCTTTATAGTAAGCGTAACTAAAACCGTACCTTCCTGAAACACAACAATAATGTTTTGCAAATAAACAACAATTACGGTGCGCGAACGTTTAGATAGAAAGCATGCGCTTCGAATGTGTTTCCGCGTGCAATTACACGTGTTAGGGCATTTGTGATCTCATGCATACGTACAAGATCCTGACTCAGAAAAGCATCTTAATTACGCGCGTCTGACAACTTGCCGCCGTTAAAACACTAAAAGGACGGGGAAGAAGACGACAGATTTTAATTAAAAAAAAAAAAATCAGGCCAAAATTGCAACCGAGATTGCAACAAAATCCCATTACCGAGACACATAACGTACAATCACGAAATCAGTTTGCCTGGATCGAAGTTGTCAATTAATCCGGACGCCATACGCAGCTGCGGTTATCTTAATTTGCATAACGACGTTTCGCGTAAAATGCGCGCGTAGAAATGTCGACCAATTCATCTATTATCGTTAGCTTCATCGTTGTTACAATATTCGATATTGCTTCTAGGCGAGCGTGATAAACTTACACACACACGCGAGATATGTCACAGCTACGCGAAATGTAATCCGTTCGTGTGTCGCTTCCCTTTCCGTGATGCATTTAAACGCGGGCCATTCCCATTGATGTCTATGCTCGGCGTTAATTGTGCATTTCGCGCGTTTAAACGCGACTATATCCGACCGTGGCAAAACACGCTCGGTGTCGCCCGCGACACGATAATTGCTAATGCCGCGGCGATAAAGGAATCAACGTTACGGCGCGGCGCAGCAGGGCGCGTATTCGTCGGGGCGCCCAATTATGCAATAAACCGAAACCGCGAAATGCCGCCGTCCGATCGTTGGCGGTGCGCAAATTGCGAATTGCGTTCCCGTCGCCACGTACATGCGGTTTAGCCGCACGCGATCGCTCGCAGAAAGCGAGAGGGACGAAACGGTACTTGTCCGTCCGCGTTTACGTTCTTCCCTCCCCCTCCCCCCCTCGGTTTCTCCCCCGCGGCGAAAATTTTCTCTCCGAGATCCAGACACACGTAATCGTGTCACGTTACATCGATTACGGGCGAGTAGCCGTAAACGCGATCGAACGCATCTGGCGGCGGGATAAGATCGGGAAAACGGGAAGTGGGTGAAAAGTGGTCGGGGTCGGCAAACTCTCTCTCCGCGAATATCCGCCGGAAGGGCAACTCGGGCTCCCGAGGGTCATGTTTGGGTGCTGTCACAGAACGTTCCGTTTTATCACGCCGGGGTCTTAGGTTGCCCTAGGTCACAATGCCACGGGAACGGAAGGATTTTCTCCCCCGGGGGAGAGAGAAAGAGCGCGGGCGCGCGAGTACACGAGGGTGTGCGTAAGATGGAAGAGAAGGAGGATGATACCGAGGAATCCACCGTGCCACGCTTGGCGAGACGCCCAGCTCTTCGACGCTATCAGCCTCGACCACAAACACCGATTCACGGCCACTATGAGGGTTCTCTCACCAGAGAGAAAGAGAGAGGGACGACTCCCCAAGCTTCGAGATAGACGTCTCTCGGGGCGATCGTGCGATCGAACGTTCGGCACAAGCCGTTTGTTTCAATAGCTCGTACGCGATAACGCGTTAAATGTCAGACAGTTAAGGTCCGCGCCATATACTCCGCTTTCTTCTCACGTAAACTGTTACATATTTTATGCGTGTACATATGCAAACGCGGAACCGAAGCCATTTATCTGCTATTTATTTGCGAGCGCACCTAGCTTTATCAGCGCTTTTTGCATTTTGGAACCGCGTGGGTAATCGCTCGACGGGGGTCGTTCGCACGGAAACTCGATAGCTTAGCGCCAATTTGGCGAACGACGAGGCGAATACGGCTCCTCTCAGTCGCCTGAAAGGCCCAAATCCGAATGTATGAGTTGGGGAATTCGAATTCGAAATTCGAACATTCACCTTCACCCTCGCTCTCGTTTCTAAAGACGGGACGCATCGTTCGAAACGTGCAGGCATATTTTACGAGGCGGCCGCTGCCGAGAACGGATGACAAAAGATCGGCCGCGGTAAACGGACGGACGGACGAACGAACCAATCGTCCTGACTCTCCCTTCTCGTTTTGCACAAAGTTTTACAGTCTGGCTGCGAGGTTGCCGGCTCTCGTCTCTCCTTCGACTCGCATCGCTGCGGACGGTTCCTCTCTGCCTCGCCGTGCCTCGATACGTCCTTTTTTTCTCCCCCTTCGACGCCGTCTCCGTCGCTCCATCCCCGCTCGCTGACTTTCCTCTCTCGTTCTATCACGTTGACAGAGAACGCGGGACAGGGAGGCAAAAGCCGAGAGAGAACGGCCGGACGAACGAAAATAAACGAAAGTGAACTCGCACAGCTCCATTTTTATGCGCGCGGCGCGTTATTTTATCCCGGCCGATTGCTATTATCGTTGTTATTTATTGCACGATAAAATAGTTTTATGAAAAAAATAGATATCTATATAAGTGAGAATTACATCTAGACGACAATAAAGATTTTTTTAGTCGACCTAACTTGGCCTTCTTATTTGTTGTATAATTATAATCGTTACGACCATTGGTTTTTGTCCTTTTCAATCGACATAACTTTTGATGCTAATAAGCATTTTTTTTTAATCACTAAAGAATTTCTATCTAGATCCTCGAAACAAAGCGCGAGATAAATTGCCACTCCTAATATAGAGTTTACTTAAACTTTGGTCCTCGATTCTCGACGAGTTAATGATAAAGATAATTTGACGACATAGAAGGAAACAACGCTGAAAGATTCTTTCGTTCTCTCTATGCGCAGTCACCCGGAGTGATGCCGTTTTATGGTGATTCCGGCGCTGGTTTCCGTCCCGCAGCTGGGTTTGGAAATACGGTTTGGCATCAGGGAGTCGGGCCAGTTGGCGCTGTTGCAGTCGAAACGTCACCGGCACCGTGGCCACCTCAGCAATTCATTCAGCAGATTTCCGCACCGAATCAACTCGAGGAGTTGAGATATCACACTCAGTACGCCGCCGCGACACCCTATCATCCTCAACCAGGTGAGTGACTCAAACGAGGTGATAGCAACACAAAGTAGAATGACAATTCTTTAGGAATTACTGTATCGCACTTGCTAAAGGATATAAATAACATACGTATAGAGTTGCTCAAAATATTGTAGTTTCCGTTTTCTTAAACTATCATACAAACTAAGCGTTCTTCATTAGAGACATGAGACTGCTTTGTGCAGTCGCGTTACATAAGATCGCGTGTCTATATCAACGTATTAATGTTACAGTTCCGTATCAGCAACAAACGTTCATAACAGCGGATCAGTCTGCGTTTCAACGAGCCGGAACGACGGGACAGTACACCATCACCGGGCAACCTTCGCCGCTGACCCCGGTCGGAGGACAGGCGGTGGTTTCGACGCCTCAGAGGCAGTTGAATGGACAATTTGTAGATCCCTCGGCTACCGCTAATCAATCAGTCGCCTATGAGCGACAAGACTATGTAAATGGCTATCAACAACAAGTAAGTGTCTCTGATTACATAAATAAGGATCCAATTTACACTTATGCTTCGTTCATACGCGCGGATTCAATTCTCACGATTTTCTCGTGTTTGCCCCTATTCGATAGCCGTTCTAAAGAATCGTATGAAGCATTTGCAACGAACGCTACACATCGCAAAACGGGGCTTCTTGCAGGACGTGACGATGGCGCCACCTCCGTCGACAACTCCGACGAGTCGCAGTAGCTCGGTACACATGGACAGTCAGCAACAAGGAGGTTCGCAGCAGCCACCGCAGCAGCAGCAGCAACAGCAACAACAGCAAACCGCCGCGGATACGCAAGTAAAGGGATTTGCGACGATCTCCGCCACCAACGTGTCGGGAAACGAGATGCCTGGGTATCCACTTCAACCGGACCCACAGAGTTTACACAACTCTAACGGGTATCCAGGCTACGTGGAAATGGGTCAGCAACCAGCGCAGAATCAATGGCAAATGGTTGCTCAGCAACAACAGCAACACCATCAACAAACGCAAATGCAACAGCAACAATCGGTGGTCGACAATAATCAACGACATGTATGGTCAGACACAAGCGGAAAGATGAACAGCAGTGTCAACAACAACATGAATTGGCAGGAGGGAGCGATGCAGCAGCCTCCACAGAAGCCTCCATCGCAGCAACAACAACAAAATATGCAAGGCAATATGAAGTCACAGGTGGAGCAGCAACAAACTTCTCAAATGCAACCACAGGAACTGCCAAGACCAGCGAGTCATATGAGCTGGGAGACCGGAAGCGTGAAGGAACCCCAAACGCCACAGTCGTGGTCCGACAACGCCGACAACCAGCAACAACAAACTCAGGGAAACTGGTCGCAACAGAGTCCGAAGCTAAGGGATCCGCAAAATTCACGGTTGACGCCATCCAGTCAACAATCGTCTCAACATCAGACTTGGTTGCAGCACTCTCCGAAACTGTCAGACCACCAGCACGGCAATGCTCAACAAAATACGAGAATGACGCCTTCTGGCCAGCGTAACTGGCAGCAAAGTAGTCCGGAAATGCAAGGATCTCAGCAGAATCCGAGATTAACGCCTTCCGGACAGCAGATGCAACAGCAACAGCAACAGCAGCAGCAGCAACAACAACAACAACAGTGGCCCCAGCAGACCAAGGTGGAGCAGAACCCCAGACTCACACCGTCCAATCAAATATCGTGGCCCGACACGCCGACTAGTCAACCGAATTGGTCACCAAATAGCATAAAAAGTGATAATAGTCAACAGCCGCAACAACAATGGCAGGACTCGCAGCACAGTCCTAGACGGACCCCGAGTCATCAGTGGCAAAGTCAACAGCCACAAGAAAATAAATTGGACAGTCGAATGACTTGGTCGCCTGTAAATTCTGCATCGGAAAATCAACCGACCTGGGGACAACAGGCGACAAAGCAAGACATGCAAAACTCAGGAGAGAGAATTGCGTGGCAACAACAAACAACAATGGATAATAGTAGACCGAACGGATTTCCGGAGAATCAAGATAATTCAGAAAGCAATGTCTATGCTCAATCTAATCGAGTGAATCTCAATAGTCGACTAAAATCGATGATTTTGAACAAGCAGCAGCAGCAGCAACAACAACAACAACAACAACAACAACAACAACAACAACAACAACA